GAGGACAGGAGAGGGAAGCATCTTAAAAAACCGACGTGCTTCCACCGCAGGCACTCAGTTCTGTATTCTCGCATCAAGGAACGCACCTGTATCAAAGTTTGTTAGGGGCTTGCGGTTGATCTTTCGATCGTTCAAGCTTTGCCGGTTTTTGCACGTGTGTGCCGACTAATGTTCTAAGGCTTCGAAGGACCAGTTTCTTGATTGAAACATTAAGTTTTTATTTTATGTTCTATTTTCTACAACTAATTCAAGATATAAATTCTATTGCGAAGTGAGAGGTGTTTCACTTCCGAGTGGCCAAGTGTTTCTCCCGCGAGTTGCAAAGTGTTTCTCCCGCGAGTTGCTAAATGTTTCTCCCGCGGTTCTGCCGGAGTCTCTGCGGTTTCCCTCGAAGAAGACTTCTATTTTCCTAAAAACACCCTGATTGGTGATTTTTCCTTTTCTAAATCACCAATCAGTTTACTCCGGTGCATCGCAACCTCCCTCCATTTCGCCCTTAGCGCGTTATCTTAGGGTGGGGTAAACAACGACCGGAGAAAGTGTTCGGTGGACGGATGCGTGGGAATCCTGTGGAATCTCCGTTTTTCTAGGCTTTGTTAAAGTCAAGTGGCCCATCGACGTTGGCAAAAGTCATGGGCCACTTTTCTATTTTCCGTTCGGAGACTCCAGGATTTATGGCAGGGTGTGGTCCTACGGACTAAGTGTCGCAGGTAACGCAATAAGCACTTGTGGTGTTTTGAAAAAGCGATATTTGCCTGCGACGGCGACCACTTGACTCGCTGCCATAAATCCGGCTACAGGATACGCCTTAACAAAGTTCATAGATATTTAAATAAACTTGTGTGAATTAAATTCTGTGGTAGTCACTATCGCCGCCCCTATCCTAGGTAAACTCCTTCAATGGACTGACCGAAACCGGGACCCCCGAGGTACGAAAGGTACGTAATAGCCCTATCTCAAGGGCTTTCTAGGAGGTGCGCGCTAAACGGAAGTCTCGGCGCCACCGTGTCGGCTGCGTACGTAACAAGATTAAAATAATGCGACAAAAGCAATACTCAAAGTTCAAAGTGCCGCAATTTTTTTAATTATCAAGATTTTTCATTTATTCGAGGTTCACACGATAACCATATTCATATTAATCAAGATACTATCTTATTTTTTGGCTTGAGATTAACGGAACGGCCGGAATCATGCATACCAAGGCACGTTTTCTTTTTAATTTTGTTAAGACAAACACAATTCGTGTAATTTTTATTATTTTTGCTTTAAAAAAATTATTTGTATATTTTAAATGTTAATAAATATGTGTGCCAAAATACATATAAAAAGTCTTTTAGATTCTTTGAAAAAAAAGGCCGAGAAAATTGCATTTTAGATCAGAATACCCCCTTAAGATCTTTTCAATACTTCTTCCAATACTTACGCAAAGGATTTTCTCTACCACCATGCATCGATCAATACAAAATTCTCTACCACCAAACGATCAATTAGGAAACAGGACCAGGTAAAGTTTATATTTCAAATAGTAAATAGTAAACACTTTGTTTTAAAACTTGTGTAAATATTAAAAAATAATATTTGTAA